TGTTATCCAAATACTTTTTTCAAACTTTATTATAGTAAGTATTTAAAAAAATATATTTTAAATATCCACAAAAAATAAAAATATTGGTACTCTAGGTTATTCAGACCCCTCAAATACAAACTCAATACAAATTCCAACCATCTTTTATTGGAATACATTTCTGAATCACCACGGATTGTTTTTCACACTTCTGAAAAACCCAAAACTACCACTATTAATTCTCTATGGATTTTGGGAACACCACGGGTATCTTTTGTCCACCCACATCCTTATCTTTATCTTCATCTTCATCTTTATCTATATCCAAAAATGTCTGCCATAGAATGTGGGTGAATGCGTGTCCGTTCGTGTTTACAAGGCCTATTTCAATTCCTTTTTGCCGGGATGCCAACAAATTGGACAACTTAAAGAGCTCATCAAATTAACTACACGCATCTGTAGAACTTTTGGCCATTTTCACTTGTTCTACATATTTATTATTATCTTTTTTTTCCTCCCCGGGTGTTTGTGTGCTTTGTTCCTCTTCTCAATTTCATTTTGTCAGTTTTTGTTGGTCCTTCCTTCTCTGTTATCCTTGCTGACATGACATGAACTGTAGTTTATTTATTATTTCTCTGTGCCTCATTCTTCTTCTGGCTTCTTTTCATTTTATTTATATCCTTGACGCATGCAAACATGTATGTTTGTATCTCTGTACGAATGTTTGTATGATGCGAATCAGGTCATACACTCAAACACTCACAGGCACATTTATTTGTATGTCGTGTAGTTTATTGTCAATTGTTTGTGGCATTTATTTCGCAATTGTTTTCCTTTATTTTGTCACTTTATTTGCTCTGCCGGTGCTTCTGTGCCAGCTTTTGTTCATTTATTTATTTATTTGATTTGTTTTTATTGCATGACAATTTTTCGTGCATATGATATAAACTGTTTCTTGTTCTTTTTCTTTTCACTTCAGTTTTTGTCTAATACTCGAATGCAGATATCTTGACCCCCTTTTTGACAAATTTGAATGCAAAGAGCTATTTTTAAAGAAATTAAATTTTATTAACGAAAAGAGTTTCGTAGATAAAAGAAGACGAGTATTTGGATTAAAACAAACTAAATTTAAAAAAGCCATATTTTAGTTCTTTAAAATTATAATCCAGCTTTTTATTGATACCTTACTAAAATGATTACAAATTAATTTTCCTTCGTTTAAATATTTATTTTTTAAAATATGTATATATTTTTGTCAATTCAAATTGTAATAACAAACTAGAATTAGTACTATCACTTAAAGGACAGATGGCATAACATCGGTGCTCAAATTACACATCCTTTTGACCCATTTGCTGAGCGGATAATTCATTCACCGTTTGACCATCATTTAACCATTTCAAAGTCAGTTGCCGGCAAGGACTCCATCATATGGTCTGCACAAACACAATAAAGGTCCTTCCGCAAGGATCTCCAACCATTTACCCTATTCGCCTGCAATGGGATTGCATTACTTTGACTGCAGTGGGCGGAGGGGGGAGGAGCAAGGGTTAAGAGCGGAACGCCGGCTGTCAGGATAGCCATCCATCCGATGTTATTTGGTCGCCCAGTTGACTCCTCGCCCCACAGTCGATTATTTTGCCATGCGGCACGTGCAACACGAATGGGAGTCCCTGCACTCGTCCTGCGCATACAAAAGGAGGCCTCCGCGCCAGTTCGCTAAAAGCTGATGATGATTGGGAACAGCAAAGGGTGGGAGAATACACTAAGTGAAAAAGGGACCCAGTATCAATGGTCATTATATTGTTTAACCATCCAACCTATAGGTTATTGGTTTTATTTCTGCGATATAAATATTTTCAATTCATCTTTCTTTGAAACTCATTCTTTACACAAAGAATTACTAGAGATTTTAATTAGCAGAAATAAATAAAATTAATTAAATGTCAAACATTTCCAAAGTTTTTTTCTTTTTAATTGTGTTTAGTTTTAAAATCCTTTACTTCCTGTTTTCACTTAAGAATTCGCCAGTTTCCTATCAAGATGGTGTTTTCATCCTATAAATAAATCACTATCCCACTTTCAATTTAAACAAGAAAGGAAGCTAGCTTCGGCCAGTTGAAGCTTATATACCCTTGCGTCTTCCTATTAATTAACAAATCGCAAAATGTTCATTTTCTAATATTTTCTTAATTTTCCGATTGTTCCTATGGTAGCTATATGATATAGTCGTCCGATTTTGATCAAATTAAAATTGAAATTCGGAATATTTAAAAGAGTTATATCCTAGGTAGAAGATAATACAATAAAACCAAGAAGCTAGAATTTATTTCTATTTTTTTCCATTAATTTTCCGATCGTTCCTATGGCAGCTATATGATATAGTAGTCCGATTTTTAAATAATTAATTCGAAATTCGAAATATTTAAAAATAACATCCCCAAAAGTGGGTATATTTCAAAAACACCGAAGCTGAATTTTTAAAGTTTTTTTTCGTTCTTCCTATGGGAGCTATAGATATAGTTGTCCGATCCGGTTGGCTCCGACATATTACTACCTGCCATGGAAGACTTTTGGAAGTTTCGTCCCGATAGCTCAAAAACTGGAGCGTTTGTAGACAGACAGACGGACAGACGGACAGACGGACGGACAGACGGACGACGGACGACGGACGACGGACTGGCTGATCGACTCGTCTTGTGATGCTGATCAGATTATATACTTTATGGGGTCGGAAACGTCTCCTTCACTGCGTTGCAAACTTCTGACTGAAATCATAATACCCTCTGCAAGGGTATAAAAATGTTAAATATTTAGATGGGAATACTTCAAATTGAAAAATTCGTCATTGTTTCAAACAGAAATATGTTCCTGCTCCTAGTCAAAGCTTTTTTTCGAAGTGTAGAACCCGGCTCTGTAGGTGGAGATGGTCGCAACTTCAACGCGTGGCTTCAACTCAATTATCAAACTTTTGGCTGCCAATCCGGGAACCCGTGAACCACCTGCCTTTGGACCCGGAATCTCCACACTCCCGACAGACAGACAGACCGAGACCGAAACTGAAACAGAAACAGACGTGTGGGTTCGAAACAAACGGAAATGGATTTTTGATTGAGTGCACAATAAAATGTAAAATGCATTTTACAGACCGTAACAAGAGCAATACACGAAGTGAAACAATATAACTCCGCTAGCGGAGTTTAGTCGTGTGTATTTTAATATATTTTTCCATCAGCAAAAAATAGATGCATCCACCAACAGTGGCGAAAAAAAATCACTTAATTTGGAGCGAAAAGTTGCCATTTATTTGCTGGCCCGTCCATCATGAAAGTCCATTTATTTCATTACTGAGTGCATAGGTTTCGGGGAGTCCCCTTCTTTCGCTGCCCCCCTGCTGGATATTATCTTCTCCTTCTGCCATCCACTTTATGGCGCATATTTGGCCAATTTATTGGCCTCATGGCTAACAAATTGCAAACACACAATGGCGATGGCGAAATTATTGGGCCGTTCGTTCGATTGGATGCAATGAAAAAGTTTTCCCTTCCCTTGGCTTTACTTTTTCTGCATTTATAATTGGAAATCTATAAAGGGCGAATCGTAAAACCGCCCCAGCTGAAGGGTCGGCCATAAAAGCCAGAAACAGTTGAACAGAATTAAATGATGCCCTATCATCAAGGGGAATAAAATTGATGGATATGTATAAAATATTCGATTTGACTAAGTGGTAGGATAAAAAGAATTTATTCTATTGAAGTGTGGTAACTGGTATTTATTTAAACCTAATTTTTGGAACCATAAATAAACAAAGTTAGAGCCAAACTTATCCCTAGGGTTGCCAAAATCGTTAGGTATTCGCTCTACTTAGGCCAAGGAAAATTAATTCGGAGACAGTTGGCTCAGAAAACGTTGGCAATTTCGACCATTTCCCTATGGCCAAATTTGTGTAGCCAACTTCTTGGGGCAATCGCCGCAGATCGATGCCTGGCACTGGCTGACTGAGTTCGGTCTAGACGTTGTCTAATGACAAACGCAAACCGCAAAAGATGAAGGACATTGGGGGAAACGTTATGCAAGGCAGTCGGAGCCAAGTCAAATGGAAATGCCCCGACTTCCCGTCTGGCAGCTAGATAAATAAACTGAACTTTAAATGGCTGCAGCGACCCATCGATGACTTTCCAAATGTCCAGGGCTAATTCCGACTGACCACACTGAAAACTACGATGATCTGATTTGGAATTTGAGTGTAAAAAACTCATTTTATTAGCAGCATTTTTAAAGATATGTTTAGTTAATGGAAGGATATGTCATTGAATTTTTTTAAAAATGTGCTAGCACTTTTATAGTTATTTAAATGAAACATTTTTATTAATTGATAAGTAAACTTTATTTTACTTTAAATTAACAATAATTATGTTTACAAAAGATTATTTTATTATTACATGATAATAAGGAATTATTAGGCATTCAATAATTAGGCATAAATAGTGTAACAAAAAACATTTATTTTTAATAATATATTTACTTGATTATTTATGTTTATAAATGTTTAACACCAATACCATAATGAAACCTTATACCATTTTTTTCTGTGTGCATAAATATGAATACATGTATAGACCTTATAACTTCTGTTAGGCAGTGAGGCGAAAGAATCTCTCTCGAATCGAAATTCATAAAATGCATGCAAAATAAACCGAAAAAGTGGCGCATCATCATTATTTATTCGATTTCCCCCACTTCCCTTCTCCATCCCCTTCACCTTCGACAAGAGACTCAATCAATGACGACATCGGCTCTTAAGTTTGTAGGGCCAAAAGCAGGCAAAGCTATATAATTTGCATAGCTAGAAGAGAAAGAGAAAAGTGGAGCCAGACTATTGAGAAATTAATATGCAAATTTCTGCCGGTAGAACTTCGCATTGTTCCCATTCAAGTGAAATTTCTCGAGCCAAAAACTTTGGCCTTCTCAGGTATAAAATAGAAATCTCATGCCAAAAGCGGTTTCAGTATTATTTTAAAACACGAAACATGAAGACATCTTGGAGCTTTAATTGCGGAGGTGCGTTCATTAAGAAATTGTGTGGTATAGGAACCTCTGGGTTAGAAAAACAATATCCAAGTGAAGAGAGTGTGTGAAAAATAAGTGATCGAAACCAAGTGTTAGCTAGAAAATTCTAGGGGGACAGGGTCGAGACTCCTTGGCGATTTCCACCGAATGGGCTTCTAGAACTCTCCTCGCAGGACTGTTCTGCGAAGGATGTGCGGGTATCCCCTGCTGGGTTTGGCCGGAAAACCGCCACCAAAACCCCGAGGATCTGCCGGTACGGCGCTAAGTTGGCTGCCATAATTGAGGATTAAGCCGGGTACGCGGATCGCTGGCTAGTCATAAAGCCATAAACGAGCCGGGGAAATTCCCAGCGACCCGGATCCCTTAGAAAAACCGAGAATGAAGAGACTTTCTTAACGGTCTTTGGGGTATGACATGCAAACGCGTGACTGGCACCCGCTAATTACCGGGACTACCTGGGCGAAGGACTAACTACCTGCCGATTAGGTCCTTTAAAAGGATCTCACCTTACAGGCTGAGGCATCATTCGCTATAGAGACGTACAACATGCAGCACACCGTGATTGAACAGCACAAATCGAGCCGTAAGGCGGAGAAATCCAGCCGCAGATCGGAGAAGAAACGTTCCGACAAGCCGCACAAGGTGAAGACCCACGATCCGCTGAAGAAACAGAAGAAGCGGGCCTTGAAAAAGCTCCGCCGCAATGCGGCAACCGTGAATTTTCCGTACCAACTCTTCTTGTACCGCCAGGAACTGAAGCGAGCCAGCGCCGATTTCTCCTATCTGCGCCTCTCGAAGGCCAAGATCGTCCTGACTTCGCAGCTGATCGCCAAGAAGATGGGCACCTGCAATCCCATGAGCAGTGTGGATGAACTGAAGGAACTCAGCCGGGAGGTGCAGTTCCAGAAGCGCCTCTGCCATCAGGTGGAGCGACTCCAGCAGTTCCGCCAACTGGGCCTCACCGAGATGATCCTCAACGGCAAGAAGACGACCCTGTAATCGGTGGAAATCGCAAGGAGCGCGTACTCTGGGACAGGCTGTTGGGCTGGGGCAGGGCATTATCTTAAGTTAGTCGGTAGTTCTTAGGTTGTAATATTTTATCAAATAAAATATCACATGGAAATTGCAAAAAAATAATTTTTTTATATTACTATTAGTGATTTGTTAGTGATTTAATCGACCTACGTTTACTAATGAGCCCTTTATCGAACTCGAGGTCACTTTTAGATGGTTAAAAATAACTCAACAGTTTCTAGCATTTCAACACACTTGCACTCGCTGAGGAGTGAACCTCTGGGATTTGCAAATTTCATCACATAGCTAATATCTTTATTTTAAGTCTTTAAAAAGCAGTTCCAGCTCTTCTGACTGAAGTTATTAATATTTCTAACTCTGTGGCTTTATAGTTTTGCTTCTCTGTACAATTCTGTGCTCTGGTCAGGATGTCCCAAATTCAAATGGCGGTGAAGAGGGCATCAAAGTGAAGGTCTTGCTGCAGTCAACCTCATCGGATCCCTCGTCAAGCTCCTTTAGCACCACTACTACTCCTACTACTCCCAGTCCCAAGAGCAACCCCACTGCCAAGTCCTCACTACAGGCACACGAAATCGAGGAGGAGGACGACAACTTCCACAACGATCGACTTCCTGCTTTATCCGAGGATGAGTACAACAACCTGGGCGAGGATGCCAATCCGCTCCACTTCCTCAAGCAGCAGCCATTGGATCTGGAAATCGAGGAGGTGAATTGAATTTTATTTGGGAATAATTCTTATAGAATACAAATTTTCATGATTCAAGAATATCATATATCAAGAATATTCTTTCATTATCCATTTCTTCTTGTGAATATCCCCTATTTATTTGTTTTCTAATGAATATATTTTAAAAATTTACACATTAAACATTTTTTACTTTCACCAGCAGATGGCGCCACAGGCAGAAAAATTAGAGCAGGTAAGAAATTATTTAAGAGGATCTTTCGTTTCTTTATATTGATATTTTACTATAATTTGGGTACTTCCCTAATTTGCCTTTGTATATATTCATAATTCACCATCTTCCATTTTTATTTCTGAATATTCAATCTTTTGGCTTTCTCACTTTTACGAAATTATGCATAAGTAGTTAAATTGATTTTAATTAAGCAATTTTTATCTATGACATTTGTGTATTTATGTCTTTTTATAAATAATGTTTCATAATTTACAATAATATCCTTTTTCTCAGCCGCCTCAGCAGCCACTTCAATCCCAGGCTCAGCCAAAATTACCAATGGTGGCTCCTCAACCAGCAGCCGGTTCCCCCATCTACATAACCATTCCCATTTACATCAGCACCGGGGGCAAGCTGCCCCTCACCCTGACCATCGGTGACCAGGAGTTGTCCCTGCGGAAGGCCAGCGGGTCGGGGTCCAGCCGGAAGAATCCCTCCACCAAGGCACCCAACTCGCACTTCAATCGCCTGCTGCAGCAGATCGAATCGCCCAAGAGACGGACCACCAATCGCCATCGCAGCCAGCTGAAGAGTCACATCTACGCGATGAAGGAGAGGAAGGATCGCAAGGATCTAGTGTACCACCCGATGCAGTAAAGAGTTTTGAATTCAGAATATGGCATATAGTTTATAGCTAATCAATAAATAGATGACAATAAATAACTGAGGAATGATGTGTACGTATCTAGACTAGACAGCATTGCTGAGAGGAGCTGAGGTCGAAGAGGTAGCTTCCTCCATCTTAAGGGGTTCCATGGCCTGGGTCTCCTTTTCGGGAACTGCAGCAGGGACCTCGACCTCCGGCTGTTTCTCGGAGTTCTCCGACTCGGGCTTTTTTGGTCATCCCCGACTGTGGTTTCCGTTTCGGGAATGACAGTGGCCGGCGTCTCCTCCTCGTCGTCATCATCGCCGATCACCTCCTCGATGGCCTGCTGGATGAAGTGCTCGAACTGCTGGAAGTACTGCAGTGCATTGTTGGCCACCTGGGCGGTGGGCAGATCAGTGGTAACCTTCTTCAATGCATCCCGGATGAGCACGAGCACGGGTTTCCGGGTGGGAGCTGCCCCGGTGGTTGAGTCCACCTTGTGATCCTCGGTGGGGATTTCGGTGACAGTCTCCTCCGAAGGTTCCTCAGTGGTTTCCGCCTCGCGACGTCTGCGGATCACCGAGTCATCATCATCGTCGTCGTCGGCGCCGCTCTCTTCATCATCATCCTCGTTGGTTTCCTCCTCCACCTTTTGAACATCCTCCTCCTCATCGTCGTCCTTCTCTCCACTACTATCGGCACTCGAGTCCTGGATCTCCTTATCCAATTTAGAGATGGGCAAACCGGCACTGTTGTCCACTTCCGTCTCCGCCAATGGAGCTGCACTTACACAGCAGGTCAAAACGAACAGAGCGGCTGTATTTCAAAGATTAGCGGAAAGATTAGGGGTAAGATTAATCAGAAGATTAACTCAGCTCACCGAGGGCCAGGTAGATGGGTCTAATCATTGTGGTAATCCTTTGCTTCCAGCTGCCTTCGTAGTGGACTTTTGCACTTTTGCGGTCTTTATGAGCAAATCCAGCGCTCTGCTTTCGCTTTTTATAGCCCCGTCCAAAAATGAAAGTAAATGCGAGCAAACAAGGCGCTCTCGTCGGAGATCTGAGCCCCGGTCTCTGGAGCGGACTAACCAGAGCGTCGTCCATCCGCTTTTACTGCACCCAAAAACCCGAGCTCTCTTTTGTCGGGTTTCATTCCTCCCACCGCCACCCAACTCATTGGGTTTCTTTCTTTCCCCGTCGAACTTCTTTTGTTTACCCGAAGAAACCGAAATCATTTATTTAAATTGCGTCTGTCTTTCTGCTTTCTGGTGACTTCTTTCATAAATCTCTTTATTTTTTTCTTGAATTTGTTTGTCTGAAAGATTAGCGTCTTCAGCTGGATATGCAAAACTGCTTACAAGATCACTTAGGCCCCCAGTTTCCTGGGATTCGGTCAAAGCCCTAATTATGTAATTAGACACGCTTGGGCATCAACTGCGAATTGATCAAATTGATCGCCCCCAACCAGCCGGCAGTGCTTCGGTTAACTTTCTAATGCTAATGGGATATTGGAAAACTTTTCCATGGAACTACATATTTAAAATCCACAAAAAAGTGATCACGAGCTGAATGAGTCATCAAAGCGATGGTGGTAATAATAAATGCAATTATGATGGGATGGGTCTATGGGTTGATCAAAAGGTAATCACCGATATAAGATCATAAATCTTTCGCTTACAATGTGGTAACTTGAATTATGTTTCACTTTATCCATCTGCACTTCTCTTGAGCTCTCGTTCTAATTGGGATAACAATTCCCATCGATGGAAGTGATCCAGAGATCAGATCAAAGATCAACAGAGATCGTAACAGAACAACAACGCTTGATTGGATGTGGATTTCCTGCGAGTGAGTGCAGCGGCCGGCGATCTCGGCCAGCAGAACCTCATAAAATAACAACCAGATCACCGAACCTTTCCAGATTGACCCAATTTCGAAGAACCGGCTCGAGAAGCGACAAGCTGGGAGGCTGGGCGTCGAATGGAGGGCATCGAAGGTGTTAAACACTCAACCAGTTCTCCGGGTCCGAGACATTCTAGATGGCTATCGCTGAAAAGGGTACGAGACCACATGAGCTTGCATAAAATTTCACCAAATAACACATAAGTAGTACCAAAAAAAAAAAACAAAAAACTTGGCGTACTTTCGTTCGGAACTCGAGACGGTGCGAAGTGTAAACAAATCTCGAGCAGAACTGGCTGGCAAACCGGTAGGTAAGCTGGAAAAGAATTCCCCTCCGAGTGGCTAAGACTGGTACTTAAGCAGCGATCGCCAGAAGATGCGATCAGTTGTTGTGCAGACGAGCAGCTGACCAGATCGAAATGAGGCCTTACCAAGTTGTTTGCATTGCAGGTGAGTCTTCTAAATGGAACCCAACTAGTTCTGGACAACCTTTGATTAACCATCTATTTATTTCTCACCTATAACAGTGGCAGCTTTGCTTCTTTTGGAGGCGACACCCGCGGATGCGAAGCGTCGCAAGCACAAGGGTTCCGATCATCATCATCACGAAAAGTCCGATCAGAATAAGACCAAGACGAAGACCAAGTGGTCCACCTCCACGGATCTGGCTGGTAGCACTCAGGTGTCCACCGAGGAGCACGGTTACTATGTGAAGCGCACCTATGCGGCGCCAGGAGAAGCTGGCGATGCCCAGAAGCGTTTGAGTCCGCCGTATTTGGCCATTCCCATTGCCTGGTTCAGTTGTGAGTCGGGTCAGAAGGATTGCCAGTCCTCCAATTCGGCGGCCATCAACAGTGCCGCTCAGTCCTTGAGCGAGGGCTATTTGTGCGACGACGATTGCGATGAGCTCTATGAACCCATTTGCGGCAGGACCTCCTCCGAGGTGGCCGTCTTCTACAACAAGTGCAAGTTGGGTGTGGCCAAGTGCCGATCGCATGGTCTTTGGTCGGACTTTGCCTACGCCGATTGCCAGGCGAAATATCCCCAGGAGACTGCCTATGCCGAGAAGAAGTTCCGCTCATCTCCTTACTTCCGGGATGCAGCCATCGTGGAGCAACTGAAATTAGAAGAGGAGAAACGGAAGCAGGAGGAGGAGCTGCGCAAGCAGGAGGAGGAGAAGCACAAGCTGGAGAAGGAGCAGAAGAAGAAGGAGAAGGCTGACAAGAAGAAGAAGGACAAGGATAGCAGCGAGAGCAGCGAGGAGAAGGAGGACCAAAAGGAAAAGGACGAGGAGGAGCCACTGACCCTCGCTCTCCAGAAACCCGCGGAGGCTCCTTTGATTCCAATGCCAGTTGCTGTTCAAGTGGCCATTCCTAAACCTGTTCCAGTTGTGCAGCCTGCGCAGACGACCGAGGACATTGCTCTGCCTCCCATGCCCTTGAAGGACGCTCCCACTCCCAAACCCCTGGAGATCGCCCCCCTGAAGGAGCAGAACCAACCCAAAAGCCAGGACAACGATAGACTAAAGTACAATGTAGCCTAAGCTGGGGATAGCTTGATTAATCTCATCTAATAAGAACTATTTATTTAATTTATTATCTCTAAATAAAAAAAATAAAATAAAAAACATTTCCTAAGAATCTAACGAGTTTGACATAGAAATTCAAAAATAAACCCCATTTCGGGAATATTTTGAAGATGCGAACTAAGTACGGTTGTTGATAATATATCAACATATGGAAGTTTTTTTTTAAGTATCAAAAATATGATTTTTGTATATAATTCCATGGTTACATAAAGATCTTCGGTAAAAAAAGCAGATAAAATATAATTACTTTGACTTTAAGAAAATTAATTCATTACCCTGCAGGAAATGCAAACAGTTTTGGAGTACACACAAAAAAAAGCACGTCGCCGTAAAATCGATAAGTCCAGGTAGTTTTCTGATTATTCATACTCATATCGTTTTTACCTGAAATATTCATAAAATTTACATTAAATAATATCATTTTGCCGAATTCTCTCTCTCGGAGATTCTCTAACTTCGAAAAAGAGCGCAAGAATCAATATGGCGAGCAAAATGACATGAGTGGAAGCGAGAAAGACTGATTCGAAATTCGAACTGACGTACTTCAAGCACGTTTTCTCGCTCGCACTAGTGTACGTTTTGGTCAGAAATAAGAATTTTTACATTTCGAACATATCACATTTACCTGGCCCCATATCAAGTTAAAAATGATCTTAAAAAAGGTCAAATTGACCTACGTTTCAAATCGAGTTTTCTTTGGGTGTAGAAAATACTAGTGGGGAGTGGACAGGTAACTAGTTCAGGTAATTTTAATGTAGTCCATCTATTGAAGGAAATTGAAAAAAGAAAGCCAACAAAAACCTAACTTGAATTGTGGTTTAAACCTTTATTGGGCCGATTTGATAATGGATTAATTTATTGGACATGATTCATTGGCAAAAAGTCTACTTCCTTCCGATGTACTTTTGCCGGTTAATAAAAAATTTTTTTTATTTTCTGCGATCTTCATAACAGTATGCACTTCATATTACAAATTTGAAGCTGATGGAGTTGTCGATATATCGCTTAAGTAGGACAAGTTGGCTGACGATCTAATCACGAATTGATATGTATATTTTATTAATTGATTTACATAGAATCGGGCATTCTTTATCGCCTAGCCAGCAATAATATATGTTTGGAATGCTTTTGTCATGTCTACAATTATTTTGTTAGTTAAGGATTCCTTAACACTCCAAATTGCTCCTATCATTATTTCTCTTTCAATCAGAATCTTTTAACAACTTTCCTATAGACAAATTCGTCTCCTATAGTTAAATTGGGTTGGAATCTAAGATGATGCAGTTGCTTTCAAGTGCGTTGACCCTCCTGAAACGAGTTCTATAAACTGCTGATTGATATCAGAGTCTCGAAAGGGCCATCATCCAGGGCCAGGCACTAAACCTAAAAACTAATTGGGCGTGGGTTGGACAATGCAGCAGGTTGCACTTGAGGTGCCTATAAAAGCACCGGAGTTTGCGTGACAAATCACAGAAGTTTACCAACTGCAATGAGAGCCAGAAGTGTCGGAAATTGGACCTGGAGGATTCAGCTACTCATCCTGTTGAGTGGAGGTAAGAAATCTACAGAGCTTTTACTTGCGATATTAGGATAACCTTTCCTAGTTATACTTTCCATTCAAGCTGCTCCGGCGGAAATGGCAGAAGATGTGACCCATCCACCGCCGACTTCCGCCGATCAGTTGCAATCAGAGTCTCGCTCCCGCAAAGATGATGTCCTGGATGTGGACGAGGATCTGGATGGACGCAATGCCTATATCAACAATCAGTTTGTGCCCAGTGAGCCATCTGAAGTGCTGGAGGATGAGCAGAATGCTCCGCTGTACGAGATCCTCCAGAAGCAGATGGAGCAGGTGCTGGCCTCATCGGCTCCCAATGATCCTGTCTACGAGCAGCGGGAGAAACAGGAGCGCCGCGAGCAGTTACCACACCAACCGCCTTATTTCTCTGGCTTAGAACGGGATGCTGATCCCGAGGATGACTACGAGGACGAAGAGGATCCATCGGATCAGGGTTACTCCGTGGATCCAGAAAAACCCGATGCTGTGCAAGGATCCCCCGAGGAGGAGGATCACAACGAGGCTGGCTATCAAGCTCCATCGTTGAGCCTTCCCAGCAGCACAACTCGCAAACCGCACAGGCGACGCAGCACAACCACCACATCTCAGCCGCGAACCACGAGGACGAGGACATCTGCCCATCCCAGGACGACAGCCAGACCCTTGAACCAAACCAGCACCACTGAGCAGCCACTAGGAAGCACCACCAGTCACAGGCCCAAAATTAGTTCAACTCCTCATCCGGGAAATAACCTGCCTAGTGATCCACAGGTCTATCAGCACAAGCGGCGCATCGTCTTCAAAACCATCTCAACTGGCTCGCAGTTCGTTAACTCTCCCATTGGCGATCTAATGATCAAGTTCTCCATCGGATTCGCCAAGCCAGCTGCTCCGGGTGGAGCCATCAGCACCTCCGGCTCACCCAGTTCCTCCAACAACGAAGCCCTTCGTGCTCTCTCCCAGAATTTGATCCGAAACCTGGAGCTGCAGAAATTAAAGAGAGCCAATAAAGTGCAAAGGGATTAAATAAATAAATTAATTAACTTACCTATTGTCAAACACAGTCCACGAATTTCTGTTTTAATCAAGGGAAATAAAAGAATTTGTAAGAAAATGATATGTTTAAATAATAGATTTCTTATACACATTTGCTTTACTTCCCCAATCACCAGAAAAATAAGCAATTTCGTCGATCCAAGCAAATTAACATAAGCGAAAGAGGGCAAGGTCTTTTAAGAATATTCCAGCGGGATCCAATTGTTCTCGGAAATATAGAAAACAACTGGTGATGACGCAATAGATTCCTATACATAACGAAAACCAAATGTTTCTTCAGTCACGTACTGGAATTTAGAAATAATAATAACAATCAAATATTCACAAGAGGGTTAGTGTTTAATTGAGGTTTTTTTTACACATAATCTAAGTGGACAGTCGCGGTGCTTCTAAGCAGTATCAACAAAGCCATAATCCATAGGGGAACTTGGCTAGCTACCTTAGTGTAAAATATTAACTATCTGCCTTGCCCAAATCGTTGTTTTTATAGAGTCTCTTTAGTTTAGTTAGTTCGCTTGGCGATATGGAAGCCTTACAAAAATATATGTGGACGGTATTCACTGGAAATGATACATGATAAGTGATAAATAGCTGCACAAAAGGCTTAACAGAATTATGATAAAGTTTAAGATAAGTTTAGATATGGTGAGGCACATTTTCTGTTAGATTTATGAACAAATAGGTCCAGTGAATACCGCCATGTTTCGAATCCTTATAAAAAGCAAATAAAATCAGCGCACAGGCCAGAATCTCTGAGCGAGGACGGGTATAGTAACCCCAGTTACGATGCTGGAGATCAGGTTGACACTATGATTGTCCAGGATGCGCAGTCCGCTGACGTGGCGCACGCCCTTGCCGGGCGCCTCCACGATCTTGCCCTCCTCGTTGATGCCCGAGAACTGCAGCAGGCCGCCCAAAATAGAGTCCAGCAGCGAGCCAAAGAGCCCGGCGATGCCGCCAAAGGCGATGATGGGCCATTGCGGTGGGCTGACCACCAGCATCTTCGACTCCACGGTGTAGCGAACGGTGACAAAGTAGCCGAAGCCCACGAGCAGTCCGCCCAGCAGGCTCACGGCGATCCCGGCCAGCGAAACGCCGCCATTGGTGCCGCGCGGCACTCGTCGCCAGGTCACGATGGACACGGGATCGCGTTGCGAGAGCACAGAGCCCAGTTCACTGGACCAAGTGTCGCCGTTGCAGCAGGCAAAGGCACTCATCACGGCCACGCCCAGCCAGCTGGAGCGGTACTCGCGGGCAAAGTCCACCGCCCGCTCCCCGCTGCCGCAGTCCAGCAGGTACAGGAGCGCCAGCTGCGTGGCCATGCCTCCATTGCAGAGCACCTGCACCCAATTCCGCTGACCCTCGCCCTCGCGGAAATCGCTCTCGAAGCGGCGCTTCATGTGCGCCCGGAACTTGGTCGCACGCGAGGAGCTGAAGAAGAACACCACCAGGCTGGCGAAGAACGGATGGCTGGCAATGGAGAGGATGAAGGCCACCAGGATGCCCAGTGCGGCGCCAGAACGATTGACGCTCCTCCTGCGCAGCGCCACCGTCATCAGGGCCAAGGGGGCGAGGGTGGAGAAGAGCCAGCGCACCGGCGGAATCACCCGGGATTCTGTGGGAAGATAACCTTTCGCCATTAGTTGACCCCGGTCATCGGAAATCCGGATGCAGTTGCTCACCCTCAAAGTCGCTGGTCCAGAGCTTCGACACCGCCACGTTGCCCAGCCACATGAACAGGGAGAGCGGCACGGAGAGGCCGCAGAAGAGCACAGGCATCCAGTCGCGCATCTTGACGTCTTCTTACGGGCGTTGTTTATCGCCACTTTCTCTGCCGGATTTTGTTTATTTTTCGGGGGCACTAAAACCGCAGCAGGTTAGTTTAAAAATACCAATCGTCAGTTTGTTGGAATGGTGGGGAACCCGGCTAGGAGCTCACCACGGACACAAACCAAACCGTTACTATCTATGGTTTTTTCACCACTCTCAGTTTAAAAATTCCTGCCCCTTTGCTATTTTTCAATTCATCAACGTTTCATCAACATCAAAAATAAACCAAGGCATAATTCAAAATTATTGACTAATTTTTGTATTAATGTTAAATTTGTCATCTTTGTGTTTGAGAATTTACGATCAATCATAAAAAATTATTACATTTTTATAAAAATAACTGATGAAACATTGATGAATGGTAATACAGGGCGGCTACTAATACAAATAAAAGGGAACATTTTAGATTTGTGAATGCTTTTTTTCGAAAAACGAACGATTTTATGGTAATTTTGTAACGAAAATGTGTATCCTCTTGATCACTTAATATTTTTGGGCTGAACAAAATATATATTTTATGGTGATACTACGTTTTTTAAAGAATTTTTTCCAATATGTGTTATTTATATACATTTTTAAGGGTTACATTAATTTATTTATTAACTTTATAAGCATAAAAAAATCCAAGTCTGAAATAGCTCTGATTTTTCAAGGCCTTTAGGTTCTTCATTATCCAGTTGAAATAAACCCCTGTTTTTGTGTAGACGCCAATCCTTCCACATTTTGCAGGTCCATAGGATGTTATACCGGCAACATATAGGAATTCGTCATATCCTTGCTTAAAGGTGGCCATCAGAGGCCCACCGGAATCGCCGTAGCAGGTGTCCCTTCCGCCCTGACCACCGGCACATATTTGGGTCATGGAATCGAAGTTGTTTAACTGTCTACTGTTTTTACAGTAACGCGTGTTTTCCAAAATGATGGCTTGCTTCAAATATTCCACTGATCTTCCCGCTTTCCGTTTCACCCCAACCGGCTATTACCAAGTCGGATCTTTGGGCTGATATATGGGTTGGCAGAAGGCAAATCGGTTGGATTTCGTTCGTATAGCTGAAAAAGAGTCATCTTTTGATTAGTGAGGATGAAAAAATGCAGACAATAACATATTTCGGAAGAGGTACCGACTTAAAAGCCAATATATTGGTAATTCAATTACACCCAAAAAAAAATCGAAATGAAACGTAGATCGATTTTACATTATTTAAGATCAATTTTAATTTGATATGACGCCAGGTAAATTTGACCTGGTCGTAAAAGGTATTTCATGTAAAAACGATCTGGGTTTTGCATGACCTGAAATTTACATGGTCATATAGATTTTACGGTGACATGTTTTTTTTTTGTGTGTAGGTAAAACATTTTCTATACTTCCACAATTTTGTATTTATTGATTTATTGTCCAAGTGTGAACCGTATATAATTTACATACTTTTCCCCTTAGCTATAACTATAAAAGATTTTTTTTTGGAAATCATTACTCACCGCACTGGCATTTTGAGACGAAGCAGGGCGATATCGGCTTCGAAAACTCTGGTTTTGGAGTAAGATTCATGAACAATAATTTCCTCTACGTCGATTTCCAGATGCGGGACAGCACACTTATTTTTATTCCTGACCTCGATGCAGTCTGGATTGGAGGTTTGGTCATGCTCTCCCAGGCGCACTCTCTTGAGCTCCATGTCCAACACCTCTATTCCGTTGATACAGCTGCCTCCGGTGAGGACGTATCGATTGGTGATCAGGGAGCCCCCGCACTTGAAGACCAGTTCCGGATCCCAAGATGCACGTTTCCTATATAGAAGCATCGCCATCCATGGGAATTCATTGAGATTCGCCTCTCTGCCACGTACGATTCGGAAACCTGCTCGTCTTTGTCCACAGATATTGTTATTTGGCAGCTCGTTACCAAGCATGGGACAGCAGGTGTAGGCTCTCTGGCTAACATCAAAATATCTGGTATCACGCCCGCAAATTCTGTTCGTCAATATTTCCTTCTTAGCCTCCGTATCATTATTGGACATAACGATGTCCAAAAATTGAGGGCACTTATCCAGTCTCACGCATTTTTCAGTGGGTTGACAAATTGGACAGCAGACTTTTGTTTTGCCACATTTTCTGTAATTTATATCTTCATTCTGGGCTCTGTGAGGGCAGTTTTCCAGACTAACACATTCCTCATGGTGTTCACAATTATTGCGCCGGTACACTAATAGAGATTTTAATTTAAAACCATTATTTCTTGATGTTTATTAAAATAAATATTTACAATATCGGTTTTAAAAGACAGAGGTTAATTTTCAAAGTTGTATGTTCTTACTATAATTACCACTTTGAGCCGAAATTGCCATGACAAAAATCAGCAGCAAAAAAGTAATAAACAACTTCATTACAAAAAGCGTGTTGAATCGTGAGGGATTGAAATAAGACTGCCTAAAAATAAAAACCGCGTTCGCAAACGTCTATTATCAATATACATAGTTCATAAAATTCCCGGATATGAGCCATGTTCCTTGAGCATGAAGGAAATATACGTTTTTTATAAAGTTTAGAGAAAGCAAAAAAAGACGGAAGTGAAATTCACTTTCAAAAGGTCTACTTCCTGCAAAAGTTCAAAATTGGGAAGTTTTTTAACTGTTTTTTATAATCATACATTTTTGGGTTATGTTTCATATTTGTTTGGTAGGTATCATATTTTTTACACTCAAAATAAAATTAACCCTAAAGTCAAGGAAATCGCCCTACTTTTGTCTTCAAGACAAGCTAGCCCTAAATTTTAGGGTCACATTTTTTATATTTTTGATTTTTTTGACGTCATATTTCTAAATTTTAGGGTAATTTTACTAAATTTAAGGGCAAAATTTCTAAAAGTAGGAAATTTTCCTAAAAATAGAAATTAAAAACAAAACAAAAAACATGTTCAATCATGATTTTTTGTATATACGTTTATATTATGTAATCCTCCCTATGTACATATGCAGGCGTTGTGTGTCTTGTATATTGTGAATGTTAAAGGTTATGTATTTATTATTATGTATTTGACTTGGACTTGCACCAAAGCCAAATGTGGTTGTAAATGTGGACTACGGGACTGCGGGGGAATGGGAGAATGTATAAATTATGATTAGTTAATATTTTATCTTCATGAAAAAACTTACAATTTTTACTTGTCCGTCGTGAGAATCGAACCCGGGTCTCCCGCGCGAGGAGCGAGCGGCCTACATACTGGGCCATTGTAGCACATAAATTTGTTGTGGCAAACCGAGCATTGTATGTAAAGGGTGAAGCGGACAACACATTTGAATACTAATTGATAATTTTGACCATTCGCGTTTTACTTATTTACATACGTATATACATATGTATATATTTATGCTAACGCAATTTATATTATGTGTAGTATATAGTAATAGCTGAATTGCCTATTATTTTAGTTTCCGCTTGCCATCAATAAAAAAGAAATAAAAAAGTAAAGAAAATAAAAAAATAAAATAACATTAAAAAAATTAAAAAAGGTAAATTTGTCTGGGACTCGAACCCGCGTCGATTCGTTGCTAACGTGCTTTGCCGTCTGCGCCCGGGTCGCCGGCCGGGTTGAGTTCTGGCATTGAACATTTTGGTGTGCCGGCATGTGAAATATTTTTTTTTAGAAAAATTTCTACTTTTGAAAATGTTTCTTTATTTGGGTTGGTTTTTTTGGGTTGGGCACTATTTTTGAAGGTGTTGCTTTTTTTTTTTGTTTGTTTTTTTTTAAATAATTTAAGTTTGGACTTTTTGTTTTGGGTGTTTTGTTCTGGTACTTTTTAGACTCCTGTTTGACTTTCTTGCTTGATCCTTGATTTGTACTCTTGTTTTAGAAAAGATTTTGGGTTTTCTAAATTTGGTTAATTTTTTGTAGGTGGTAATTTGAGTGGCAAATATCTCAAAATTAAATACATTTAAAATTATGTAACAAATTTTTTTATAATTATTAATTTATATTATGTTAATGCCCTTAAAAAGCTACAAAGAGATAACTGAAATAGCTCTGATTTTTAAGGCTTTAGGTTCCTCATTATCCAGTTGAAATAAACTCCTGTTTTTGTGTAGACGCCAATCTCTCCACATTTAAGAGGTCCATAGGATGTGATACCGGCAACATATAAGAATTCGTCGTGCCCTTGCTTACTGGATGCCATAAGCGGTCCACCGGAATCGCCGTAGCAGGTGTCCCTTCCGCCCTGACCACCGGCACATATTTGGGTCTTGGAATCGAACATTAACTGTCTACTGTTTTCACAGTAACGTGTATTTTCCATAATAAAGGCTTGCTTTAATATTTTACTGAGCTTCCCGTTTTCCGTTTGTCCCCAACCGGCTACTACCAAGTCTTCGTTTTTCAGGTCGATATGGGCAGGCGGAAGGCAAATCGGTTTTATTTCATTCGTGTAGCTGAAAAAGTGAGGATGAGGATACTGGGGTAATTCAATGATTTATTTTGAATGTTTATTTTCCCTGTCGAAGTGTGAACCGTATACAATTTACATACTTCTCATACGGGATATGTTTTTTTTTGCGCAATATTACTCACCGTACTGGCTTTTTCAGTCGAAGCAGGGCGATATCGGCTACATGAAGAATTATTTCCTCTACGTAGATGTCCAGATGCGGGGGAGCACACTTCTTTTTATCCGAGAGCTGGACACAGTCGTGATCGGAGCGTCGTTCATGCTCTCCCAGGCGCACTTTCTTGAGCTCCCACTGATATTGATCTCTGATACAGTGGCTTGCGGTGAGAACATAACGATTGGTGATCAGGGAGCCTCCACATTTGAAGAACAGTCTCGGATCAGAAGATCCACGTTTCTTATATAGAAGCATCGCCATCCATGGGAATTCATTAAGATTCGCCTGTTTGCCACGTACAATTCGGAAACTTGGTCCTCTTTGTCCACAGATATTTTTCTCTGGCAGCTTATTACCCATCATGGGACAGCAGGTGTAGGCTCTATGTTTAACAAGTTTATGTCTGGTATCGCGGCCGCAAATTCTGTTCGTCAATATTTCCTCCTTGGCTTCCGTATTATTATTCGACATAACGACGTCCAAAAATTGGGGACACTTATCCAGTCTCACGCATTTTTCAGCGAGATGACAAACTGGACAGCAGACTTTTGATTTCTTCCTGCCACATTTTCTGTATTTCAAATTATCATTTTTGGCCATGCCAGCCAATTGAGGACACTTTTCCAGACTAACACATTTCTCATGGGGTTCACAATTATGACGCCGATACACTGATAGAAATTATAATTAGTAACTATTATTTCTAATTGATTTTTAAAATAAATAACTAGAGTATCGGTTTTAGTAGACAATAGTTCATTTTAAAAATTGAAAGTTTTTACGATAATTACCAAATTGAGCCGAAATTGCCATGACAAAAGTCAGCAGCAAGAAAGTAATAAATAATTTCATTACAAAAAGCGTGTTGAATCGTGAGGGATTGAAATAAGACTGAAATAAGGGTTACACATTAAGAAGAGCCGAAAAATAAAAATCGCATTCGCAAACGTCAATTGACAACAGAGTTCTGTGAATTTCCGGATATGAGCAATATTCATTGAGTATGCCAGAAATATATTTTTTTTATAAAGCTGATATTTTGGTTTCACTAAGCAAAAAAAAAACGGAAGTGAAATTGACTTGACTTTTAAAAGGTCTTCTTCCAGCCAAAGTTCAAATTTGGGAAGTTTTTTTACAAATGTTATTTATAAATGTACATTTATCTGCATCCCTGTTCCTTAAAAATTGAATTTTAGAAAATGTTTCATAATTGATTGCTTCTTGTTAAGATTTCATTCTCTCCTGTTTGGTAGGTATCATAATTCAGGCAAATATCTCAACATTAAATATATTTAAAATGGCATTATATAAATTTTATGATTACTAATTTATGTTATGTTAAACTCTACATTAAGGCGCTCAGAAAGCTACAAAGAGTATATGCCCTCTAATCGCCGCACTCGCTCGTCGATCAAGGCCAACAGCTTGCTGATCTCCTCCAGCTGCGCGGAACAGGAGCACGTCTCCGAGGCGGATTCAAGGGACACGTCCAGCACCTGCGGAAGGTTCGGCTGGTTGGTAATGTGCGGCAAAGTCTATTGAACGTTTTTTGGCTAGAAGAAGCGCTGGCTGGGGCTTTGCGCCTTGAACTCCATGCCATGGCTAAGTAGCTTTTCCTGCTGATTCGAGTGTTTACTGTCGAGCACCTGGAAGTTCTCCTCCGACAGCTGGTAGGCCAGCGATTGGCGCGGATCTATGCGGATGCTTAGGTCGTTGGACTTGGAGGTGCCGCTGCCCAGGCTCTGTTTCGAGGAGACGCCACTGGTGTCGCAACCGGAGGAGGCCAAGGCGGATTTGGCCTCGAACTGTGAGGCGTCGTAGGTGTGCAAATTCGACTGCCATACAAGGAGCTGCAAAGTAATCATAAGTAAATCTAGATAACAAAAGTTACTAGCAGAATTATTCACCTGCCGATCGCTACCACCAGTGGCAAACTTTTCCCCATCCCGACTGAAGGCCACCGCGTTCACCGCATCCGTGTGGCCCGTCAGCGTATAGATGGGTCTGCCCTCCAGTAGATCCAAAATGCGTATGGTGCGATCATCGCTGCCGGAGAGCAGAAAGTGTCCGCTGGGATGGAAGGCCACATCGTTGACGGGCGCCGAGTGAACTACATACAACTGGAGCAACTGACTCCCGGCCACATCGAAGATCTTGATGCGATTGCAGCCGAGGGCGACGGCCAACATGTTGCCCCAGGGATGCCAGGCCAGTTGCCTGGGCGCCGCTCGCTCCTCGGCGAAGGTGCGCACGCACTCGCCGCTGTCCACGTCGTAGATCCGCACCGACTTATCATCGCTGGCGGTGGCCACCAGCTTGCCATTCGGACTGAACTTGGCGCTGCGCACCCAGTTGTTTTGCTGTGCGAAAGAGGCCACAAACTGCCTCCTGGCCACGCGCCACATTTTGGCCGACTTGTCGTCCGAGGCGGTGAGCATCAGGTGGCCGGTGGAGTCGAAGTCCACGCTGCGCACCGCCTTGCTGTGGGCCACAAACTCGCCTGAGACGCCGCGCAGCTTGGGCTCCCAGATCTTTACGGTGCGATCGTGACCGGCGGAGGCCACCAGGTTGCCCTTGGGCGACCAGGCCACCCCATTCACGGCCGCCGAGTGCGAGGCGAAGCGAATGCAGCGGGCCGCCTGGCTGAGATTCCACAGGATGACGGAGGAGTCCGTCGACGAGGTGGCTATTTGGGCGCCATCGGGACTGAAGCGCAGCTGCGTTATGCCGCCCGAGTGGCCCGTGAAGTGGCGCTCCAGCGCCGGATCACTGAACAATCCCTGCATCTCCTTATTCATTGTTATTTATTTTATACGTTTTCTGCCGGAATTTTCCCCAAAACAGGATTGCTTTGCCGCTAGAGTTTGAAAATGAAAAAATTGCGTCGCGTCGTCGCTGGGGCAACCCTGCAGTACGACCGGATTTAGAATATACCAAATATACCAAACTAACCGAGAAATATACTAACCAATATTTCGGCTGTTTTAAAGCGCCATCTACTGGAGAGACAAACTAGCCAAAGACGGTTGAAAATTAACCCTACATCAATACAAATTCAAACTTAATTTTGTTATAGGAGCTATTTAAATGGGGATGAGTTTCTTATGTGCATCACTATACATTACACGACCTTGCGTTGAAATGATTTTTTGACTCCCCTCTATACCTACAATATATTTACATATATGTAAAATGTAAAATGTAAGATGTAAAATCAACTGTCGAAAAAGTGTTAAAAGTCTTGGGTGTCACAGAAATCCCTTCCAACTAAAGACGGTTGGCTTTTTACATTGATGTACGTATGAAACAACGGACTTTCTTTGTAAACGAAAAATATTCTTATTTTTATAATCCGAATATTTTAATTTTCTTCGTTTGGTCTTTGGCTGCGTTTAACTACTTTTTGGGTCCTTTTAAAACATTTTCTTTTTTTATCTGGGGTGACACAGAAATACATTACATCATTACATCATCACAAACGTTTTACTCTGATTTCTTAATGATTAAAAATAAACAAAAAATCTGTGATCTCAAGTACTCAAAACAGGGAAAACCGGCAACAGGTTTTTGATGGGAATTCATCACTCTTGGCGACAGTCGCCCATGAATAACAGAACAAAACAGCAGATGTATTAGATGTGAGAGTTTTCAGGTCTGTCCATTTCGCAAGTGTCCCTACCTGCTGTCATTATCCTTTCACCTGATCGTCGAACTCCGGGCTAGTTCATTCAACTTCAACCTGCTGCCGGGCCAGCTCTCTAATGATCCTCTACTCGGTTTTTGGCCAAGTTCAATGCCTCCTCTCTGCGGCCGCTATCTCTATCGGCTAATTATGCGTTCGCCAGCATGTCGGGCAATGGACCCCCGGCAGTCCCAGTCCCAAAAAAGCCCAAGAGCCCAAAAGGTCCGCAGAACTGACATCAAATTAAACAACGAAAAGTGACAGGAGTGCAACTGTGAAAGTGCAACGGCCAAAGGAGCGGACAACAAACGAAACCACCGACCCAATCCCAATCGAAAACCGAAAACTGGACTCGAACTTTGGGAAATTAGTGTGACAAGCACTCGATTTCCACCTGTAGCATAGTAGCATGTTGCAAGTAGCACTGCCCGTAACTCGTAACTGTTCTTTGCCACAAAATGCAGTTAGGAGCGATATTGCAACCCCTGGCGATGTTTTTATTCCCGCAGATCGCATAGACAAAAGGTCGTTGTCGTCGTCGTCTCTTCCCTGAGGGGAGCCACTCAACTCCAACTGGATGCCCCTCGCTTGGCCGAAGGTTCAACAAACTGCTTTTATCAAAAAACTGTTGCACTTTCAAATAAACTAAGCTAATGTGCCAGAGGGGAAAAGTCGGCAGAACCTCAAGCTGAGCGAAAATCCTTGGTCGAAAAACGAAGGAGGTCCTGGTTTCTTTATGACTTCGAGTGTTGAATACTCTTTACGGATTTCTTATTGGGTCATTAATATTACTATTTGCAAATTCAAGAAATATTTAATAATAGTTAGTTTTTAAAAAGTGTTTCAAATATATATTTCAAAATTACCTAATTCCTGAAACATTTATAAATATTTCTGTAGAAGCCAATAGTCACAAATTCAATTTTAGATAATCTAATAGGTATTTGCTAAATTTCATATATTTTTCTACATTTTTAAAATTTTTAATTTAAGAACTTGTGCAAATAAATATTTTAAAACTACATAATTCCTGAAACAATTATTAATATTTCTGCAAAAACCAATACAAATAATTGTATACAATCTAAAAGGTACTTTCAAAATTATATATAAATTTCCTCATTTTTTAAATTTTTCATACAAGATCTTGTGATTTTTATAACGTAACCACATAGCACATACAACCCTTTGGTAGAACCATCTAAAAGCCGCTCAGCAGAGGTCCTGAAAGCGTGGCATGTGGCTTGTGGTGCCAAGAACCGGGATCGAAAGCGGGATCGGAATCGGGATCTCGGGACCTCGGGACCCCGGGAAGACCCCAAACCAAAGGCAAGCGGCCAATCAAGCGGCGGACCCTCGTGCCAGAAGAGCCTCTCGAGCTTCCCTCCGTTGGCTCGTGTCATCTGTTGAATTATAAAATATGGCAAGGAATTAATTTGGCCAGCCCCTGCTGGTCGGCAGAATCTGGCACAGCAGCAGCAGCAGCGGCAGAAGGACCAAAGCGGCAGAAGGATAACGATCCAAAGCGATCCGAATCATCTACCGCTACGTTTTGCTCTGCTCTGTTCTTATCTGCCGAGCACCTGTCGCCCGAATCCGAATACGAATACGAACTCAGACTCATACTCAAACTCGAATTCGAATCCCGGTCCTGAAAACAAAACGAAAGGTGCGCTTAAATTCTCATAATGACTTGGCTCGCGTTTTCAACCTGCTGATCTGAACTGAACTGAATTGATCCCTGAGCCTCAATTCCTCACCCCTAAAAAATGTTGCATCTTCGGCCGCAATTTGTTGGCCATTGTGTGTCTGTCTGCCTCCGTCTGCTGCTGCTGCCGCCTCAAAATCTGTCTATAATCTGTGTTCTTTTCGGGTTCAGAGTCTCTGCAGAGTCAAAAACACCTTGTGTGTATCCCGCCTTTGACTTTGCACCTTTTCTCACAAAATCCGTACAAATTTCTGGTGTTTAGATTTTGTCATTTTAATTGCTGGGGCTTTACCATTTTGTTTGGATTCAAGTTAACCCTTTTGTTTTGCCTCTCGTCTTCGCAACCCTTCGCTAAGCTTTGCGGATTGGCCATTGTCTCTTGGTTTCTCCTTGCCAATTAAGCTCTGCGAATAGATTTCACAATTCGCCCTGTCGGCCAGGGGTTGATTTGCATATCTGACTTGGATTTGTCCCCTGCACTCAAATCGAAACAGCTTAAGATTTTCTTTAGGGGGGTCTAGAAACTAATCTGCAACTTGCAACTGCTAGTCGTTGACACGGCACTCTGTTGGCTTCCGATTTGGCCAGCGGTTCCTTGGCCAAGTCTGATTAAAGACCGGTCAATGCAATCTCAACTTGTGGAGGAGAAGGTTGGGAATCTTGAGTTGGTATGGGTTGGGAACAAAGGAGAAGGTTCTTATTGTACTAGAAATCATAATATTCTATTAACTGACCAATAAACAATACAAATTAAATTGTGAAATCCTTTTTTTTAACATTTATATAAGAAATATTCAGTACCCGGAAGTATATATAAATTTTTGCTTTAATTTATCCATTCTTATAAGGTACCTGCTTAAGTATACTTTACAAATAACAAATCCTTCTTATATTAGATTTTATCATATTTTATTAACTGACCAATAAAAAATACAAATTAAATTGTAATATATTTTTTCAATATTTAAATAAGAAATGTTCAGGACCCGGAAGTATATATCCATTTTTTACCTGCTTAAGTATACTTTACAAATAACCCATCCTTTACCTAAAACTAATCAAAATAAGACTACTGTAAAGACTCCGAAATGACTTTTCAATTGAGAGGATATTACATATTTTTATGACAGCATATGCAGCCGTCACCTGTCCTTGAGAGTCCATTAAAACCGTATAGGGACATTCCTAAACACCCCAACCCAAGGACTTTATTCTAACCATTCTAACAATCAATTTCGAGCAGCATTTCCAACCAGGTGACAATGCTCAATCAAACAAAAGTGAAGCAATCATAACTTATCAGTTTCTGATGGTTTATAAAAAAAATGGAAGAGACAGAAAGGAGAAGAAGTAGAAGAAGCCGGCGGCCTGTTGAAATTGGGTCACTTTTGGCCTGGCCGACAAGTCGATCTTGTAATATCGATCGAGCGTGACAGGTGCAGCGGCGCACTTACGACTGTTGTTGCACCTTCGCTTGTGGATTTTAAGCGACAGCTTGTGGCTCAAAACGCACTCGCAGTCGGTCGGTTGTAGTGACTCCCCTGAGGGCCAAGATTAGATGCAGATCTCTCCGTCTCCCATCTCCGATGTTTTTTGCGGTCTGTCCGTCTGAGGGAGAGATTTTTACGACTGTTGCATCTTTTGGCTTCTGCTGAAGGTGCTGTTGCTGCCGATGTTTCTGCACTGGAAATAAAATTGAAATAAATCAGGATCTTAAAATTAAACAATATCTTGAGTTTTCTGGTAGCTAATTTAAATAGCACTTAACCGGAGAAAATATATAACATTAAATTTATAGGTCAAACTATTTGAATTTTAAGACTCCTTTCAAAATTTTTAGTTAGAAAGTAACATTTTAATATAGGATTTATTATTTTAATAACTTTGTTGTAAGGATATTCAAGACAATTTTCCGGCCTGTTGAATTTTTAAAATTTTTTCTGAGTTTCTAAAGATTTTATAATAATAACAATTTTATACTGTTGATCAATCTTTCCAAAAAATTGAAAGCTAAGGAGGTTGTAGGGATGTACAATTTAAATTTCTGTTTGAACCATAGCGAACATTTGGGATTTGCCATTTTATTAGTCTCATGTACCTAATAATTAAATTGATTTTCATTGTAATTTTTTTTTGGAGTGCTTGCAATGCTGCTGGTGTCGTGTGGCCCATGTCAACTGGTTGCAGGTCGCCGTTGTAATTTGCCTCCTGGCATATGGCTTTTTGCCGCAAACCGGCTTTGAGCACGCGTCTCGTCTCGTCCTGGCTCAATAATTGTGCGACAGGTTCCAGGATTCCAGCAGCAGGAGCAGAAGGGCAGGACATTGAGCAGCAGAAGCGGCAGCAGGTGCTCAATGCCGCTGGAGGGAATCGGGAATTGGGAATCAGCGCCAGGCTGCTTACAACGAAAGGACATAAACATAAATGAGCCGATGTAATGTTGAGCCTTCCTGCGATCCTTCCATCTCCATCTCCCTCTATCTGTGCGTTACAGGTGCCTTTTCGACTGCAGCCCCTCCGAATTTTTAATTGTGAGCCAGGCTCTCGGTCTCGTCTTCACCTGCAACGCAACTGACCTAAGACATCTTTTTTGCCCTTGCTCTTGGCCGGGCTCTTCACCTTTTTTCTTATTTTTCGTTGTTTTTTTTTAGCCGCAACTATTATTTTTATTAATAGCCAAAGTCAAAAGTCACCTGCCCGGCACCAAAAGGCCCAAAGAGCTAAGGGTAGCCGGAAAACGGAACCAAAAAATGGGATGGGGGAAAGGACGTGAACATGTCGCGGGTCCTAGAGCCTCTTTAAGGCCTCTTCTAAGATCAATTTCCTCTTCACATTATCCCCCCGCTTTTCACGGTTTTTCCATTGTTTGCGTTTTGGGGTTGCAGCTTTCCAGTCTTTTGATAGCCGCACTCTTTTCGTAGCCCTCCTTTGTTTCCATGGGGGCTTGGCCCGACTGTTGAATAAATTCCAAACGGCATGACAAATTATGTGGGCTCAGGTGTTATGCGGAAAAGGGGTTAATAAACCGAGAGTCAGCGCTGCGGAGAAACTCCAGCATATGTCGGCCAAAGCATGAATCTTATCTATTGTGCATTATCGAGTGCAAACCTTTGGTAAGGGGTTGCTTTCTTAACTTAACTTAAGTTTGCGATCTCAAGTGATCTATAATTGCTGATTATACCTACAATCCAAAGTGATCTTATTGATATCGTAGCCCCTTTTCTCTAATTTTCTTCTTCTATATTTATTTATATTTATTTGTTTATATCCTAACGCTACAAGTGAAAACTTCTATTTATTGCGCTACAATCCAAAGTTATCTTATTGATATCGTAGATTTAACATTTTCCTATAGAAACCCCACTTTCTATCCTTAAAATCACCGAGTCCCAGAAGAATTTCGAATAACTTTCGACCTTTCTGGAGTCTTTCTGATCTCAAATCTTTAAAATAACCGAGTCCCAGAAGAATTTCAAATAAGTTTCGACCTTGAGTTGATCAATTCTTTCCCCAGTTGGTCCACCTGCCCAGCTTATGCAAAAGACATTTTAATAATACCATGATCATCATCTACATTCCTCGGCTTTTGATCCTCACTTTGTCGGCACTTGGCGAAAAGTCCTTGAACTGCATTTTTCTTCGTCAACAATTGAACTGCATATTTCTCTCTCTCCTTCCTTGTTTTTTGTTCAATATTTTGTCAATTTCGATCAATTTGTGGCGTGCCAAAGCCGAAAGAACAAAACCAGACGATCGAGTTTGGCCGCAGAAAGTGTGTGTGGATGGGTCCCAGTTCGCTGATTTCGCCGATTTCTGATTGCGATTTTCGATGAATGGCGATAATGAGGGAAGTCGGTGATTTGTAAACTGCCAAACTTCATTTCGGGCGTTTTAAAGTGCCGCAAAATGCATTCGGACATTTCGATTACCGAAAATTGCGATCAGCAGTCCTCAATGACCATTGCAGCCCCATCTTGCCCTCGATCCCCTCCAGCCCCATTTCTCACTTTATTTCGTCAGCAATTAGTTCGAACTTCGAACACTTATTGGCGTTTTCCCTAAGGGAGGGGATAAAAGGGGGGGCCAGGGAAAGTACCTGCTGTAACGCGGCAACTTACAAAGGACATTCCCCAAATTCCGCATTGGGCACAGATCAAAGATCACCGCGTCACCCGAAACAGGAGCAACTTATTCCCCATCAATCGAGGACGTGCAGGAATTTATCTATAAAATCAGGTTTATGCACCGAACCGAACCCCCAAAAAATATTTGGAGCGCTTTGGACAATTTGTATCAAAATGTGGTACTTCAAAAGGAGGAGGCTGTGTCCTTGATGTTGGGGAATTTATCGGCCGAACGAGGGGATGATAGAAATAATGAGGTATTTAACCCTACATTTATTATATCTTCCGACAAAGTTTTTGTAATATCCATTTAAATCCCTCCCTTTTACTAAAAACATATCTCAATTTTCTTCTCTTTTAGCTTTCAACTTTATTTTCCAAAAAATCATATACGGGTCTTAATAAATATAATTACAATAAAAGTCAATGGGTGGATTACAAAATAAGAGTAAACTAAAAATTCGCATAAATCGTATAAATAAATGGGGTAAACCTTAATAAGTTAGGAAACTAAATTTAGACAAGTGGTCGCCAAGTGGTATTTCATTTGTTTGAGGTTGTTCTTTGGTACGTTTAGCTGCCAATTTTGGGTTAAGTTTAAACCAAATCAATAAGGGTTAATGCAATAAATTAAATATTAGTTATTATACTATATAAGAAGAGTCTTGTTCTTGGGTTAAATATGTACAGACTTAAGGCAGTATCTTAGCATAGGTTTAACAAATAGCTCTTAAGATTAGGATAAATCTTTGCGAAGGCCTAAACAAAACAAACTTTGGCTTCATAGCAACGACTTAGACTTAGGGCCAACTGTGATTCTGCTCCTTCGGCTGGTTCTAATACTGGATTGGGATCCTCCTCATCCCAGCCTTGGTCAGCAGCTGCTGCTGCTCACCTCCATTTTCAAAGGCTTCAGATCCTCCAGCGGTGGCGCCTCCTCGTGGCGACTCTCCCGATGCCGCCGGAGATCGACCTTCCGCTGGAAGGACTGGTCGCAGAGCAGACAGCCGAAGGGCTTGTAGCCCGTGTGCTTCCTCATGTGCGTGATCAGGTTGGAGCTCTGGCTGAAGGCCTTCAGGCAGACGGTGCACTTGTGGGGCTTCTCGCCTGGAAAGAAAAGGGAAATCAATAAATACAATTAGTTAAATGCCGGTTCAAAGTTTATTAATTCTGTGTTTACAGCAATTAGACAAATTGAAGGGCGATAGAGATCTTGAAGGGTGGATAGACCCCCTATTTGTTTGCCCAGCAGAGTGACTACCCCCAAAGGACAGCTCTGATTTCCCCGGAATTCAACTTACCCGTGTGTATATAGGTATGCTTCTTCATGTCCGACTTCTGGTGGAACCGCTTGCCGCAATATTGGCAGGGATATGGCCGCGTATCGCTGTGGATGAGCAGATGGGTGGACAGGGTGGATGAACGCTTGAAGCTCTTGCCACACTGTTTGCACTGTAAGAGAACAATAGAGGAAAAAAACAGAGTATTAACACCACATTCAAACAGTAGGAGTCACGATTTTTGGACCTCAGAATGCCCCATATTTGAACAGCCTGTGCGCAGAGCCCCCGAAAAAACCAAATAATATTCATTTGAAAAATCTGAAAAGAATTGCCATACCAGCGGGTATTTATATACATTCGCCTTGTGTGTGTCTGAGCCAAATTCGCAGTGGCAACATGAATTAAACTAGATTTGTGAGTGCTCAAATATTTGCTTTCTAAGGTGACGACGGAGCCCAGGGAAAACCCAAAGCCCAACTTGGTTAGCTAAATAATCTAGAATTTTTGCATTTCTCAAAGCAGAAACAGCTAGGTAAATACAGAGTATGGGGCGGTCTATAAAGTCTCGACCCAATGCTGAATCTCAAGTGAAAACGGGGAGCTCTACATATCTACATATTTTTGTGGGCCAAACACAGCTGGGATCGATCGCTGGGGATTGGACGACTACACTGTAACATCTTCGGTTGTCAGATTAAATGTTTAAACAGTTTGCCAGTTGCAGCAACATGCAACAGTAACCAAACATTGACATAACACAACTCAAATCGTCGTCGGCCTACGTGGGTGACATTTATTAAGCACAAAAAAATGGGGAGAAAAATGTGAGACAATTTTTTCGAAAAGAAAAAAAAACCCGTCTTGGTCTACGCGTAATTGTAAATTGACACAAGTGTCTGTTTTTTTCGAATTTCTCCCTCACTTTTGTTTTTTCATTTATTTATTATTGATTTTTATTTATTTTTTGTGCCTCGTTTTTTTTTTGGGATTTTCTATTTGCGCATTGCATTCGAGTGGACCTCTCATATAACCACATATTGGCTAGACTCAGACCCAATTAGTTGCTCTATTGTTAAGCTGAGCTCGCTTGCTGCCTGAGCCATAATGTCAATTTGCTTAGCTCCGAACGGAAGTTGGCTCGAAAGCTCAAGAGAAAAAATACAGGAAAAATGAAAAAGAACGAGCGCAGGAGAAACCCCAAAGTCTGAGTCAGCCGGGTGGGCCACCAAAACGGTGAACAGATGTAAAGCGCGAATTACAGAAAAAATTCGAATTTATCCATAAAAAAACAGTGACTGCGCCTGCGCCTGCGCCAAAGACTCGGGCAACTGTCTTCTCTGCCTTTTTAACCATATGGCCCCTGAAGCCCGAAAACCTATCGCATTTCACTGACCCTTAAATGTGTGAAAAAAACGAAATACTACAAAAAAAAAGGACTCGCGGCGGGTGTTGATGGATATAAACGCAATATGACATCGGGGTAGGCATAAGGGTAACTTCTCGTCTCGAGTTCCTCGGGGTCGTGTGCCCTCTTACCTCCTCGCAAACCAATATCCAAATGACAATTATGATTGTAATTTGTACATAAATCTTCGACCTTCCCCCCACTGCCGCTAATCAAAATTATTTGATTAACTAATTGCGTGATTTCGATGGGACTTAATTGAATTTCCATCTATGGGTTGTATTACCAATTTTATTACACTATTTGCTGTGCTGTGCCACTTTTCCAAATTGAAAGTGGTAAGAGGGATTGGGGGCTCGGTGACAATTAAAACGTTCGAGGACAAAATATGAAACAATTAACACAGGGGAATTGCTGGGCAACAAACACGCAAGCCTTATGCAATGGAGGTATTATAGACTATAGATCATGGCGACCTGAAGGACACGTGATAAACCCATTAGACTGAAGGGGAACTCTCAATTCTTTCAGAGATTTTCAAGCGATTTGCCCTCAATTTCCTTTCTTATTTCTGTATATTTCCCCCCTATTGACCATATCCTGTTTTCAGTCTGCTTACCTGGAAATTCCTGCCGCTGCGCTTCTCCTCGTTTTCACCTTGGTAAGAGGATGAGGAGGACGAGCGACGCGCAACATCTGTGGCCGTCGAGTCAGGATGTTGCTGCTGCTGCTGCTGGTGATGTTGCTGCTGCTGGTGATGCAACTGTTGCTGCTTGCTGCGGCTGTTGGTGTTGATTACGCATATAGCCAAATTCGGCGGCTGCCACCAAATTCATGAGAGCGGCTGCCGAGCGGTTATCCTGCTGATGATTCTCGTCCTTCGGCTGATCGCTCTTTTGCTTCTGCAAGTGCTGGGTGAGCAGCTCCAGGTTGTTGCCCGTCAATCCGGCCATGAAGGCACTGCGATGGGCGTACAACTGCTGCTGGGCCACCTCGAATTCCAGATCCTGCACAGAGTTCGTGGGCGGAGCGGACAGCGAGGAGATGGGCGATTGGAGGGAGGATATAGACGCGGTCCTGCGCTCATACTTGAACTTTCGCACAATGGGATCCACCTGGTGCTCCTCGTTCTCGTATTCCTGATCCTGCTCCATTTTCAATCCATACTGCTGCTCCCTCCTCGCCGATCTTTCGCACATGGAGGCCGGTGACCAGATGATATTGCCCTGCGATCGCTGGCGTTGTTGCTGTGGAGTTCCCGAACTCTTCAGGTTAACTGCTCTTAAAGGAGGCGGTGTCACATTTAGCGAGGTCAGCGGATGCAGTGCCTCCACTTCGCTGCTCGAGCTGCTCCTGCTGCTGTTGTTGCTGCTACTGTGATACTGATCCCGATCCCGATTGGAGGAAGAAGGGTTCGATGTGATGCTGCGCTCCTTGGTGCTCAGGTTCAGGGGCATGTCCTCGTCCAGCTGCTGCTCCTGCTCCTGCTGATCCTCCTGCTGGGCCACCTGTAGTTCGTGCTCCTTCTCGGGGGTCAGGGCAAAGTCGCGATCCCGCTGACCCAGCACCACAGAGGCGGGTGACTTGGGGGTCATGGGGGTCAGGGGCGTACCCATTGCCGTGGCGGAGGACAAGAGGAATTGGGGCCACAGCAGGGCACTCGAGTAGAGCAGTGGGTTGTACAAAAAGGGCAGATCTAAGGAGGGAAATTTAAATCCGGTTAGTTGGAAAGTAGAGTTTAGATAAGGAAATTATCCCCACAAAGCTGATCAGCTAACCAATCGAATCCATAAGATCTAATTTACAATAGTATTATTTTTAAGGGGTTTTCTACTGAACCTGATTTTAATTGAATTGCATAATTTCGATTTTATTTCTCAAAAACTCAGAAATTATTAAAACTAATCAATTGAATTTTTATTCCAGGTTCTTTTTGTTTAAATTTCTTTAAGACCATAAATAAACCATTGGATTATTATCCTTATATAGTGAATAACTAATCTAAATCAAAATTAGTTATTTGCCAACTGTTTGTCCTGATTAAAGCCTAGCTTACAAAACCACTAAGAATCAAAGATCACTTCAAAGCACTTTGTATTATCGTTTTTATCTTCTCAGTCTATTTATTCTATTAATCTTCTTTTCCTGCAAATCCAAATAGATCTCAGGATCTGGAACTCACCTCTCCCATTGAGTTTCTGGGCCGCGGCGGAGGCTATCACAGTGTTGAAGGCGGACGCCCGCTGCATCCACTGTTTGTCCAAAGCTGCTCCATGGCAGCCCAATCCTGCGGGACTCGGCTGCTGCGAGTGCGGCGATGGCGGCGGCGAAAGGTGATTCATTTTGATTTCGGATCTTAACTTGGGAGTTATTTTTTTTTTAATTTTTAGTATACAGTCTTTGGCTGATTTCTTTCAGTACTTTTCACACTGCACAAATCTCTCACTTTTTTTTTTTAGCGGACTGATCTTCGATTGTAACAGATCTTCGATGGATTTTTAGGCATATATTCTTGTGCGGAATTCTTGACTCACTGGAGACGAACACGTCCGTATCGCTCGGTGCTTCGCACCTGACTGAATCTTTGGTCGATGGCTCGGTTCTAAATTGAGCCAACGGTGAAGCGACTTGACTTGGCCCGAAAAAAAGGTACAAATCGAGCTCTCTTTTTTGTTGTGTGAGTGCGGCGGCAGCAAGCCAAGCCGAATCAAAACGGGCCCTCTTTGGCTCTTTGGTGGTGGAAGTTGGCTCTCGGCTGCCCTTCGATGTGTGCGTTTGTTCGTGTTGCCAACAACTCTGGTTTTTCACCTTTGGCAGCAGTTGGCGGCTGTTTCGGTTATCCTGTGCATGTTGTAAGGGTCAAGACGCACAGTTAGGAGTCGAGTCCTCTGGAGTCCCCCCTCCCATTCCCCTTACGATCGACTGCACTACTGGTTTTCTTCTCGGCAGCACGCGTTTCCCTACTAATTGGTATGCAGTTAAAGTTTGGCGGGCGTTCGTTTGTTGTCCTCTTCCCGCTTCCTTGTAACTGTTACAATTGCTGTTGCTGCCGCCAACTGTTGTTGGCCTGGGAATATCGGGGCTGTAAGCCAAAGGAGTGGAAGGGAGAAAGAGCCAGCGATCCGGCGATAGAGCAAAGGACGAGGGCGGGAACCAGGCGGGGTAGCCCACAAATATTTAGGTGGATGAATCCAAAAGATCTAACATCTGTCGTGGTGGCTCAACATTTGACTAGGACATTGTGTAGATTATGTTTAGATTGCAATTAGATTTAGCTATGATTAAAAAGTTGAATTTAGTTTTTACGAGGAAGCGGCTAAAATAGTTCAAGACTTAGGGAGAGCTGAATTATGGTATTTCTCACAACAAAGTTCAAGTTAAGAAAATTTACAAAAAAATTTATAAAATTCATAATTTATTGAATTAATTTATCTTTTTAAAATATATCCAGGATTTTAGATAGACTTAAATATGTGGAATTGATGAAGAATTCAATATAAAGATATCTTTAAAGTCTCTCAAAATTGTCAAAGGCAAATGTGGATTCCAATCTTTGTAAATTTTTATAAGGAAGTCATCAAGCGAAAATGCAATATTGTTATGATCTTTTCTTGGGTTAGTGGGCAAACAAAACTAATAAAACTGGCAAAAATAAAAAATGAAAAATGACTATAGAGAAATATTGTATTCTATTTTATTTATCCTTAGCTATAGGCCAAAAATTATCAAAAGTTTAGGTCGAAAATGGTCCAAATGGTGCCCTTTAAAGTATCAATTTTTCTAAAAGTTGTTGTATTTTGTAGTTTTGGAGTAGAGCTTTCACTTTTACTATAAGATCCCAGCTTTCCATTTCCCATAATTTAATATATATGTAAACTTTTTATTTCCCAAAATTAATGTTTGACCTGGATATGGTTTTTTTAGATCATATTTTATTTTATTTGAAAATCATTACAATAAAAGTTCTTTGATTCGAAATATTCGTTTTTCCTATGCGATTTAATACCCAATCGTTTTGTCTGCCAATGGTTTAATTTCCCATAAAAACAATTAAAGAACTATAAGCAGTAAAGAGCACATCTCCGCGTTGGATCGTACCCATTAAACCACTCAGATAGGACGAGCACCTGCCACTTTCTCCCTCTCCCGTTCGCTGCACCTTTTCCCGAGCTTATCCCTCGGCCGTTCGAGGTCCTCCTCCTCGCTGGGTCCTTCGCCACGCTTGGCCACCTCGTCTTGGCCGCCTCAATTCCAGTTTATCTATCCTTGGCGCGGGCCACACCTGCCTAGTGCCTAGTGGCTAGAAAACGAGCCAAGAAGAAGTGGCGGGCGCACACTTCCACATTTAACGATCCTCTTCCTTCGGGGCTTGTCAGCAATTTTTTTACCCGTCCCCTAGTTTTTGGCGCAATTTCCTTGGCAGGACATGTGCAGCGTTGAGGCGACACCGAAATTCCAGCGGACACGAGTCCGCCACGGGCTCTGCCGATCTAGCGAAGCGGCAAGAGGCACACGCGGCCTCAAAGCGGGTTAAAAATGGGGGAATTTTGACCGCGATGAGGGCTGGCCAAGTCAAGTTGGTGGCATCGTTGCGCTTGGCAGCGTTTTTTTGTTTTCTCCTGGCGGACTGAGGGCGCGTGCTCATCCCCTGCCGCTTTGTAACGGATTCACCGTATGCCGCTCACATCTATCATTGTTTGATATGGCGGTACACTCAGAAAAATACGTAATTATTTTGAATCTCAGATATTTAAAAGGTACGTGTTTATTAGGGCAAAATTCTAACAACACAGGAAAAGCAAAAATTAAGAAATTTAAAACGATGAACTGTTGAAAAAAGAAACAAAATTGCTTTATTAGATATACATTTTTTCTATAAGTTTGAAAAAACATTTTGTTATTTTTAAATATTTTTAAAGTAGGTAAAGAAAAGTATTATACTTTTGGGAATATTTTCAGTTTAAGAGCTTTAAGAAATATTTTGAAGAATATTAGTAGATCCTATTTTTATACAAATTAGTCTTCCAGCCGAAGACTAAAATATATAAAAACATTTTTGAGTTTCGAAATGTTTATGATCCAATTTTGGTTTCGGAAGCGATTTAGTTATCTGATCAATATTTTTTTTGAGTGCAGAGCAGCACAGGTAAGTCATACCGTGAGTCGTAAATAATTTCCATTCTCTGTGTTTTCGTATCGGGCGACATTTTATTTACGACACCCTCTGAGAGCCCCTGTGTTTGATCAAATCCCACACTCTGTCGGTCGGAAACTCGGAAATGCCTTTGCACTTGGCTCGTGGCTCTCGGCTCGCTGCTCGCTGATTGGTTAAAGCCACGTCGAGAGGGCGGGTAACACCTACACGGAACGGGTTTGAGTCTGTGTACGTGAGCCAGCTCGCGCTGAGGTGAGTTTCTGTTTCGGGCCAACTTCGGAGGTGTGTGGGTTGTGCGGACCGTTAGATAGAAGTTGGATTGGCTGAATGAATGCCCCATGATGAATGGTCGAGTTGAACTGGTGAATGGTTAGATAAAGCACAAATACATCAGATATGTCATAAGTTAAAGTGAATGAGAGATTTTTCGATTGCTAACTTAAAAAAGAAATTTAATAGCCATTTAGTCAGACTTTTTCCTATTGAATCTATTTAATAAATATTTAAATATTTAAAATTTTAATGTACAAAATTTTAATCTCGGGATTGGCATTAGATAAATTTTTCCATCATTTTATTAAATTAAAATGTCTTAATATTGTTTTTTGGCAGTAAAATATTTGAAAATTTTACTATTATACATTTTTTTGGTAAATCCTGTTTTTAAATTTATCCACGCTTTATTATCGATGGCACTTTATGGTAACTATTTAAAGGCCAATAGTTAGTCTCAGGTGGTAATAAAGATATTCTTAAATATATAAAAGTTTTCCAAGCTGTTTAATTACACTCAAAAAAAAAAAAAAAAAACTCACTATTTTTTTTTTTTAAGTTTTTTTTTTTTTTTTTTTTTTTATTTTTTTTTTTTTAAAAATTTTTTTTTTTAAAAAAAAAAAATTTTTTTTAAAAAAAAAAAAATTTTTTTTTAAAAAAAAAAAAAAAAAAAAAAAAAAAAAAAAAAATAAATACTGAGATTCCTGAGATTCCTGACCGTCTTCCCCTTGACTCTCCTTCCCCAGTTGGCCAATCCTCACTGATTTATCGTACTATCTGCCGACATCGTTTAAAGCACTAAGAGACCATTTAAGTATTCTCTATTTGTCTCACAGTGGGTGCTGCTGGCCAGCGAAATTCCTTACAACAAATCAGGCGGAAATCTGTAATAAATTTATTATTATGTAGCCTGGCCATGTGGATTATAATTGTCTTGGCAACAAATGGAGGCCGGAACGATGCCCACAGCGAGGAGGCAGTGGCCGCCGACTGGCTACTGGTTATGAGCACGACCAGGAGGAGTCTCGCTGTCGCTGTCGCCGGTTCATATCGTGCAGATTGTTGGCAATTATTAAAATGATAATTGCACAAATCTGGCTATCAATTGACGACCATCGAAGACCTTAGACCAGCCGCAAAGCCACGGCCAAAACGAGCGAAAGCCGCTCGGCGCACAGAAGCGAAATCCGCGGCGCAGACGCATGCGCAGATGCAGTCAGCGGGCTCTCATTTCCCAGTTACCAGTTACCATTTCCCCGTTCCCAGTTCTCCAGTAGCTCTTGGCCTGGTCTTTTCTGGCCAGAGGCTCCTGCCTCTTATCATGCGGCGTTGGCGCGCTGTGCAGCATTTCGCCAGCGTTGACAATTTGGTATTAATTTAAGACAACAGCGGCGGCCACAACAGCCGACCAGGCCCAGACAGTTGGCCACTTGGGCCAGAGTCACAGTCATCCAGCCACCGCAGCGAGCAAAACAAAAGACGGACATTAACATGCTGCCAACGAGGCTAACAATGAAATCTGCGTAGTTTGTTTTGGCCCACAGAAGGAGGAGGGGTCGCAATGGGCTTAGTCAGCTTAGCTAAGCAGCTAAAGTGTGACCAGAGCTTAGGAATATTTTCAATATTTTATGAAATAGGTTTTTTTTAAAAAAATAGGTTAGGTTAGTTAGAAAATTCTTAAATAAATACTAAAAAAGGAAAAGTACTCTTTTTAAATTATTGTAAAATGAAATATTTTAAATTTCTTAAAATATTCAAAATTGTATATAATCCATTTGTTCAAAATATTCATTATCAATACAAAATTTTATTAAAAAATTTTTATAATAAATTTATCTTTGTTTTAAAAAAATTCTTTTGGATAAAAAGAATTCCAATTTATATTAAAAACTGCTATTGAATCTAATTTTTATAAGCATATAAATAAATAGTTATAAATTATTTGTAAGGACCTCAAATTTTATCAACGAAAAAGTTTAAAATTATTTATAGTGCAATCCCTAAAAAACAAAACTTGGTCCCATTTAACAGCATCGCTCTGCTTTGCTTTGCTTAGTTTTCCTTTGTTTTGGCTAACTTTTGTCCCTCCGCTGCGTCTGCGCACAATTATAAAACAAAATTGATAAAA